GGGGGTAAGGAAAAGAAAAGCAAGGAGAACAGATGCTGCCGACTCACCGCAGTTGTGTAGATTTCCATCTGTCTAACAGCAACAGCTGACAGGCCAAACTTCGCCTGTACCATCTCCCCCTGCTCTGTCACTCTCAATCTTCCTTGTACTGATCCCGGCGGCTGTGATTGAATAGCCAGGTACATAGGGCCCCCTCCACGCCCTACTGTTCCTCCTCTACCATGAAACAATGTCACCTTGATTCCGTACTCCTTACACGTCTCTACAATATCCTCCTGTGCCTTGTACAGTTCCCATGCAGCAGCCAGCCTGCCTGCGTCTTTCCCGGAATCAGAATAACCGATCATGATCTGCAAGAGGTTTGGTCACCATTACAAACGCAGCAAACACTGGAGCCATCAGAAATTTTGAGCCAACCTAAGCAAGCCGGCATAGAGTACCAAAATACCAAATTATTACCAATCCAACCCGTCACACACTCTAAAACACCACTAAGCTTTCTCAATCCAAGAGCCACAGACTGTTGGATTGGCTACCGACATAGTGTACAGCCCGTAACACACTCTAGAAGACCACTACTCTTTTTAACTGCCTGGGTCTTGAGTTTACCAGGAGGCCTGCACTTCTTAAGCTGTGCAATCCAAGAGCCATGGATGGTCGGATTAGCTAGAGGAGGTCGCGGCCACGTTACAGAAATGAGGGGGATCCTCTTTTCGCTAATGCTAAAATACCTGTCGGCGGCATGGGCTAAGTTTTTTTCCAACTGAAGAACGTAAATAGTAAAGCTTAGAAGTTAGAAATCATTATTTTTGGCTGGCACCACCAGCCTCTTCCATTCAGCAGGCTGTCCAGGTATTGAACATGAATATAACTGCCCCGAGGCATTGCATTCGTTTATACGCCCAGGCATACGCCGAGGCATTGGATTCAGTATCGTGGTAGGTGATTTCATGTATTCAGTATCTTGGTAGGTGTCTTCAGTGAGGCCCCAAAATCAAAATGAAAAATTTCTGCTAAAAAAGCATGTTGTGTAGAATTGCAATGCAGACGACTTTCGAGTATTAACTATTAAAAAAAAAAAAACCTCAACTGACCCCCTTTAAACCCATGTATGCAGCAACACAGCCCTGTACACACCACAGCTCATGCAATTCGAGCGGTAGACTGAATAAACATGGGAGTCCAGATGTTAACCATACAACAAACCCAGGTGGCCATGTTTTCAAAAGTGGCTTCAGTCCTGTACAAATCACAGCTCATGCATAACACGCACCATGGTAAGTGGAACATGGGTCAGTAGACCGCCACCTAAAGCGATCCCTGAAATGAGAGGGCTTCAAGTCACAGCTTTGCATGACATCAACCTGAAAAGAAAAAAAGTATCGCAGGAGGCGCGTGCCACGAACAAGAGGGAACAATACACAGATCCTAAGCATACCCATGTATTTTCATGAATCTCACCTCCTGATGAGAATTGTGATTCTTGACCAAATGATTATGATACCAATCGATTGACAGCAACCTCCGGATGACTCCAGAAGCACCCCTTAGATCTTTCACAGTCTCAAAAAGTGGCACCACGCGGAGCCTGCAATTCAGAGATCAAGAAAAAGCTGGTTTCTGTTAAGTGCGAGGACACCGAGAATTGTGATGCAATTAACACAAAAAAAAAGAACAAAAAGAATCGTGGCCACCTGTTCCGGGAGGGACCAGGATGCACACTCTGTGAAGAACAACATGTCAGTCTTGTTCGTTCTTTGAGAAACAATTGTGCTTTCTGTAAGAAACAAACGGACGAATGATGGGTACAGAACAGTAGGAGCGTTGCATAGAGCAAGGCAAGTGAATGAACAAAGGATTTTAATTTTTTTTTTGGCTCCTATTCCGTATGTGGTTAACGGGAACTGAAGCAGGAAGACCTTACAGGCAGTCAAGGGCAGGCTGTTCATTGTAGCTGTTCCCCCATCATCAACAGGACCACCAGCACCTTTTGACCCTCCCCTTGCTTAGCATGGAAGCACCCTGCCAGCAAAAAAGAAAAAGAAAAAGAAAAAAAACGAACAACGCAGGCCGCCAACCATTTTGCTCCAGTGGGCCGGCCCCGAAACTTCCAGGGTTACCCAAAGCTCGTTCACTGCCTCCAGTACTAAAAGAAACCCGACCAAGGTGCCGGGCAAAACTCCCAATCCTCCAGTACTATAAGAAACCCGACTAAGGTGCCGGGCAAAACTCCCAATCCCAAGGACAGGATCATGAACACTTGGCTTCAATGGCAATCAATGCCTGCAGTCTGAACAAGCGATGATCCAGTTGTAGCGTGGACGACCCACGGGGAGAGAGAGAGAGAGAGAGAGAGAGAGAGAGAGAGAGAGAGAGAGAGAGAGAGAGAGAGAGAGAGTGCTCATCTGGGCAAACATACGTTGTTCCGGGACATGGTCTTCCCAGCTCTCCCGACACAATCAATCTTGCCTCTCTTTGGAGCAGCTCAACCTCCAGAAGGTCACTAGCCTGTCACAGACCAGACAAAGACACCAACAGTCCAAGAATTGTAATATGATCATGTTCACTCAACTCTCAAGATCATTTCTGTGTGGAAGAACATGTGTTCATTTTGTAGATTACCAAGGTTTTGAATATTCTCCTCTAGCAGGTCCTTTCAAACCTGAGATTCATCAGAAACCTCCATGGGTCTTTAAAAGGAGGCAAAACACAAACACACTCAGAAGCGCATATGCAGGCACAGACGCCCACAAGCATGCAGACGTGTACACACATGCAGAAGCAGTTACGCCCATAAAATTGAAATCTATTGCCTCATTTCCAGGGGTAAGGGCGACCCAAACATGCCCAAAGAGCTGCGTTCCTTAGTCTGAATGAAAAAATGACTTGTGCTGCCCGCCATGACGGATAACAGCAGAGGGGACTCATGACACGTATGGAAACATCACTGACACTGTCCACCTCGATAGATAACAGCGGAAGGGGCTAACGAATCCATATAAATCATGGTTGCCCCGAACCCGGACAACTGGGCACGGACATTGGACCGTATCTGGATCAAACCGGACATCCAGCAACCGGTTTGCTAGTGTCCAGTTGAGAGCAAAGCAGTGTAACTCGTGTGCCAATGTTATCGCCCTCAATCCACCAACACAGTATCCAATGTCGCTAATCTCTGTCTGGCGTGATCGCCCTCCCTTCCCTGCTCGCCCCTCCCCTCCTTCATCGCCCTCCCATCCCTGCTCGCCCCTCCCATCCCAAATCGCCCTCCCATCCCTGCTCCCCTCCCATCCTTCATCGCCCTCCCATCCCTGGTCGCCCCTCCCATTGCCTAGACCCGCCTCCCACCTCACAAAAATGCCAGGAATACGAGCAAGAGTGATAGACAGAAAATCAAGTTGCAAAATCGCACAGAGGTCCAGATAGTCATGTACCAAGCAGAGAGCTCAAATGCACCAAGATTCCATCCAAATAAGAGCAAAGCAGTGAACTCGTGTGCCAATCTTATCACACAGAGGGCCCTTTCAGGGCCTGTCCGGTTGGGGTACCAGTTCTAAAAAAACATCAGCATTATTTTTCCGGGGCACCCCAGGCCCAGGTAACCGGCCTGGGAACCCCAAAAAACAAATTCGAAATTTTTGAAATCGGGGTCCAACCGGACACCGGCCCCAGACACTGGACGGTGTGGATCAGGATCTGGACGTCTGTCTGATAACCATGATATAAATCCTGCCCATGACATTCAAATGTTTGAGAAGATAACTTACCTGCACTTGCACAATAATATCAAGGCACAATAATATCAAGGCAACTGACAAGGTCGTTTTGGATCTCATTTTGTGTTCAAAGGTCAAAAAACTCTTAAATCTTTCAAGATAGGAGGGAGCACATCCAAAATATCCAAAACAAGATGAAGAATAAGACTTTCAGATGTCCTCTCGTAAAGGACCATAACCACCTGTCTTGTTTGTCATGGAAGGAAAGATATCCTCTCAGAAAAGCTAAATGAAGGTCGCAATATCCCTGGGAGATAGCAGGAGAGCCCACAAAGGACTGGTAGTAATACAACTTTACTCACTGTAGGTAATCCCCATAACAGCATCACACAACACGCATCACAAACCCCTATCTTCACAAAAGAAATGACAAGGACGTCAGTACACCATAACAGCATCAGACATCAAGCATCACAAACCTCCATGTTCACAAAAGAAATGACAAGGGCGTCGGTGCACGGCTTTCAAGGACGTCGGTACATGGCTTTCACATTCACATGAACAAAGACTGGAAGGAAAAAAGCAGGAAAGAAACAAAACAAACCCTACCTCCGCAGCCATGGAGATCACATAAGCACCTAAGCAGTTCGTTCCCAACTCTGCTGCCACCCGGAAAGTGTCCAGCACTTCACGCACCGATGGAGATACCTGAAAAATCCCCGCGCTTAATTGTTAGTACTGTGCAGACAGAATTGGATCAGACCATGAGACTGGCATGAAGACATGAGCACACAACGAATTGGTTCAGAAAATGAGACTGTCATAAGACTCATAACATATGCACAGTCAGTGAAGATGAGACTGACACAAATATGAGACGAGAGAAACACTCGTTCCATCTGCAAGAATGGCGCATGATTCGACATTCGTCGTCTCCTTACACCTTCCCCAGGATATCCTTAGGGAGCCCATCCTTCACCGATGGATGGACGAGAACAGTGATGTCAACATTTGAAGCATGCAGGTAACCCTATGATGCTAGAGCTTTCTTTCATTTAACTGCAACTTGCCATGTAGTGGCATGTACCACGATGCAGGCAACAAAACCTCCCATATGAAAATTATGAATGTTTGCTCCACACCTCATCGGGAGCCAGGTGAGTTTGGAGACGAGTCGCTCAGCCTAGTTAAAACAGGCAAGGAGAAGCATCAACGGTTGTTACACGTATAGCTAGTTTTAATCCCCCCCCGGCTTTTTTTTTTTTTTTTTTTTTTTTGGGGGGGGGGGGGGGGGGGACCACTGACCAGACAAATCACTCCACCAACTAAGAACGGCCATGCACCACCACCCAATGGCACCCATAGTATAAAGACAAGACCATTTAGTTTGCATTCCTAGGAACTTCCAAGAAAAAGGCATGTTTCATCAGTCTAAAATTGTCCAGAAAGTGGCACAAACCCATAGAAAAGAGTCGTCTATCCAAGTACCGGCCTAAAGAGCTCTTCCAGCAAGTTCATTCGGCCGAGCAATTTTGGTTGTTTCAGCATACCAGCCCCACCTGCCAGGAGTGTTATATGCTTTAAGCCCAAAAAAAAACAGAATTGGTCGGCTGTAGCTGCTGACCCAGGCCTAAATCAAACAGCAACAACCTCTACAAATCACTACGACCCATGCACGAAGTTGTTGAAATATCCGGAAACCCATACGGTGAAAGATTGCAGAGCATTAGAGTGCTGTCCTCGCACATTCAATTCAAAATTTCAAATTCCATTCTGGGAGCAAGGTTTGACGACTCAGCACAGTGTGCAGTATGCCTTAATCACGACGATCTGTCTGTATTATTTACTTTCTAATGCATATCTCGTCCGTTCACTCTTCCAATGTGCCTTGATCCCCAGACTACCGCCACCCGAGTTAGCGCCCTGTTACAAACTGTAGTTTCACATTTTCAATGTGCTTTGCAGCCCAGAGTAACACCACCCAAAGTAGCCTTGTACCAGACTGTAGTTAGGTTCAGGAGATGACATAATACTTGACGTCTGTCAGCAACCCCCCTACAGCGGGATTCTGTATTCCTCCCACCCGCAAGCATTAAAGTTGATTAAACTACATTCATTACTCCAACTCATACTTGCACACAGACGGACCGGACGAGCGTCCGGTCCGGTCCGCTTGCCACGTGCGGCACCCTCCCCCCGGATCGGACGGACCCCGACAGGGCCTTTTTTTTTTTTTGGGGGGGGGGGCGGGGGAGGGGGACGTAACCGGTGGTCGGGCGCACATTCGTGCGCTGCGTGGGTCCGGTCCGGCGGTCTGCCGCACGTGCGGAACCGCCCGGACGGCATCCGCTTGCAAGTATGCTCCAACTACATGATCGAGCTTGGCTTGTTCCGGAAGGTTTACATGCGAACTTCATCCTCGTGATGCTTCCTAGGTAACGGTTCATACTTCCAGCCTCAGTTTGGTTGAAGATGTGTTACACAGCCCATCCCTCAGAGTGAGTGTCCACATGACTCGCGCCGCAGTTTGTTCGAAGATGTTATGCAGCCAACCCCTCGAAGTGAGTACCCACAGGCTTCCCAAGCACGCTTCGATGGAGGCGTTGAGAGAAAGCCTTACAAGCAGGAGACCACAGTCAGACACAATCCCTCAAACCGCATGCACATACCTCAAGGTTAGGCGGGACCAATGGTCGCCTTCCCTTCAGCTCCGCAACTAAGAACTCCAACTTCTTCTCCTCACTCCATTCACTGTATGATCCAAGCTCCAGATATGTCGTCAATGCATTCAAAGCCTCCGCATGCTTTTCTGCTTCCTGGAACATCAGGAAAACGACGGACCAAAAAATCAGGGGGGAAAAAAACAAGAGAACTGTACTGATTGCCTTTTTGAGAGGGATCATGATTAAAATAAAATAAATTTGTTTGGAGTCTTTTTGGAGAAGAATTAGCATGATAATTGCTTTCCAATTTGCTTTTCTTGCACTAGTAGCTATTCCTTTCATTCTGGTTGTTGATGTACCACTTGACATTGCATCTCCAGAAGGCTAGTCAGATACTGAAAAAATGCTGTAAGCCATGACTCTTCGAAGAACCATCTTTAGGACCATGCAAAGAACACATACGGTTGTATCATTGCGAGTCTTGTATTGGCGTGCAGTGGAATGAGTTGAATGCGTGAAATGATTGTAGGATGTGACGAGTAAAAGCGTTGTAGTACCAGGAACGACAGAAGGCAGGAAGGATTGGGGGTAACTGAGGGAGACCAGCTCAATGGATCGTCTGATCCTTGCACGCGCAGAGCGTGACGCTGAACACGTAGTATGCGGTTGTTCAAGCAATGCAAAGACCATAAGGTGGACACAGAATACAGATACCACCATATGGGGTATGCACGAGAGTGAGTGCTTGTGTGTGTTCGCCATACACCAAGCAGCACACACACACCAAAAAAAACAACAAAATGAATCACTGTGCCCAACTATTTAATTGGAATTTCATAGACTCTGCAGGTGGTTGAACCCCAGCAGTCTGCCCAGGAAGCATATGACTGATGGATTAGGACACACCACGTCGCCCAGAGTGTGTGATACCCCTGAGAGAGAAAAGTGGTCGACTTTACTCGCACCAACCCTGCAATCCTGTGTGTGCGAGTGTTGTAAGCTGTCACCATAACAAACCCTTTTCCATCCAGAAGTGGCGATCCAAAGGTGATAGTCTGCTCGATCCGAGTTTCTTCTACATGGCAACTATAACCGTAACCACCTGTAATCATTTCATCATATTGAAAGAGTACCCTTGTAGGAAGCACGGGGCGGGGGAGGGAGGAGGAGAGGAGGGGAGGTGCAAAGAACAGAACAAAGGAGCGGCAAACTCCATGTGTGTGTATAATACTGTGTATGTGTGTGCGTGTGGGAGAGGGAATAACAGAAAGTAAACAAATTCCTGAAGGCTTTCCTAATGACAGACCTTTTTTTCCTTTTTTTGGGAAAAAGACAAGGCCCCATCTATTCCGGGGGGCAGCAGTCTGCTTGCTTATCACCAGCAAGCATAGAGCAATGTTAAGGGCAGAGGAAGAAGCTTCAAGAAAGGGAGCGACAGATGAGAAAAAGGTCCAGCCTACTACCCCTGCAGCACTAGCACTTTGCACGGGGGCCTGGGGGGGTGGCAGTTCTGTGGCATATATCTGCAGTCTCTAGGGCTCAAGTCCTGCCTCCCATGCCCCACCTCTAGTTCAAACAGACCACCTAAGTGGTAATTCCTCTGTTCTTGCAGTATAATAACTTGAAATTCGGACACCTAAACACGTATGACTAACACTTCTGCAGCCAAAATATCTCCCCGCCCCCAATACCAGGCTATCCTCCCATCCGTTTCCTGATAGTATTCATGCGGCCCTGTCTGCAATTCCGCATATCATATCATCACCCTTCCTGCGACCCCACATCAATTCTCTCCCAGCATCCACCCCTCTTTTTAACACCCTTTCTGCAGTGCCACATCTAATCTCCCGCAGTCCACCTTATAACACTCTTACACAGTAGATATTTCTATCCTACCTGCACACCGCATTCTTATAGTGTTCTGATTTTTTTAATTTTTTTTTGCCTTCTGGGATTTTCATTCTCATGGCCCACCCAAAATTTTTCAAACCTACCTGCATACTGCATTCTCATGGTGTTCTGGGATTTTCGTTCTCATGGTGTTCTGGGATTTTGAACAATGTCTCAGCAAAAGATAGGAAGGCCTCAGTTTCGACTTCAAGTCGCTGCAACTAACCTGACGCAGGTCGAGCTTCATGAGGTTCATCCCAAAGGTGGCCACCCTCCTTATCAAATCTCCAAGCCGTCCATCAGCCAATATTGACGACCCCGTTGAGACCTGGGTACCACACAAACGAAACAGAGGAAGATCATTACCATGGGAGTGCCAACATGGACCACAATAACGATCACTCTTACACCGGAGTGCCAACCTTGACGGCAACAACGGACATCGATGCCATGTTTTGCAAATTTGCTGAAATGCACCCATGCGTATCGAAAAATAAGACCACCAAACCACAAACCAAACAGTGTTTGTTACTTCACATCCAAAAAAGACAAACATGCAAATCAAAGCAAAACAATTGTGTACGATATGACAATACCGTACACACCGTTGCAATCGAATGGGAATGGACAGAGGAAAATGAATTGAAGCCAATATCAACTCACCAAAGACTGGTAGCAAAGCATAAGCGGTTCCATCAGTTCTCCTGCTGTCTCATAGATCTCCTCATCACCAGTTGCTATACCCTCCAATAGCTCTTCCATTCGGTTGCGGGTGTTCACAAGCTGCAAGGGTGCGAAGCAATGCCAATCCATGGTAGTCGGTAAAACACTTCATCATATTTCAGGACACTGTTCGGGTGCCCAGAATGGACAAGGAGAGGACCATAAGGACCTGTTCTTTCGGATAGGAAAACAAAGAAAAAAATAATAATAAAAAAAGAAGAAAAAATGAAGAAGTTGGAGATTACCCTCAGCCTAAATTTGTTTCTGTTGCTATGTTCTACAACATTAACTTGTTTTCAGAATTTGCACATTTTCAGAATTTACCCAATAAAATTACTTAATTAAAATTGGTTTGTTTTTCTTTTCTTCTTTCCTGGCGTTTCTGCATTAAAAGCATAAGAGTCGATAAGACCCTTGGCCGTGGTGGAAAAGAGCCTCTGTCCGCCCTGAGTGAGGGCGGGCCCCTGGAAAGTCAACGAGACCTCCAAAACAGGTCAATTTGGGAAGGCCCAGGGCACTTTTTGGACTTTATCTTCATCTCTTGTGATTTACAGTTGAGCTCCAGGCACATGCTTGAAGGGCCCTGAACACGTATACTGGGACAGAGGCCTAGCATCCGGAAGCTGTCTTGCTCAGCCAGTCTCGGCGCAAGTCAACGACGCCCCCCAAACAGGTCAATATGGGTAGCATCTGCAACCGACCGGTAGGCCCAATTGGTTCAAGAATCAAGATGCAAGAGCCCAGAAGATTCTGAGGCCCAGGGCACTTGCGGTTGAGCCCCAGGCACATGCTTGAAGGGCCCTGAACACGTATACTGGGACAGAGGCCTACCATCCAGACGCTGTCTCGCCCAGCCAGTCTCGGCACAAAAGGAAGAGAGGCCAGTCAATCCTCATTCAGGCCGGCTGGTTGGACACGGCAGCACTGCTGGAGCACAGGGGCCATAATAATCATCTCTGTATCATTCCAATTTTCCATCCCTCAGAAATTACTAAATTGCTCATTCTCTGCCAGCCCGTACAAAAAACTACAAGGTCGGACGGCCCGGACCGACATTCCCAACGGGTTGGAGGGGTTCACAGCTTCACATTTCCAGTATCAGCCAAAAAAACAAACAATCTCTTCTCACCAGCCCCTCCTCCTATGTAGACAGACGCACAACAACCAGTCAGCAACACACTCCTTTGCAATCCTCCCCACTATACAACCTACAACTGGGAGTTCCAGATAAAATGTACACATTTCACTTCGGACGAGACCTGCTGAGGAGGCAGACAGTCCTGAAACGTCAATAGTTTTTCGTTACCCTGGAGAATAGTCAAGTAAAGAATCCGACCACTTCGCAAATGACGTGTGCACTGCAAAGACCAACAAAAAAAAAACTTAAAAAGGAGAATAGGCAAGAGCACAGCAAGACCAGAACGAATTGGTTTCTGGACTACGGTCGTCGGCGATTTACCAGCGGACCTAGCTCCGCTGATAGACCCCTGAACTGTACACATGCGTTCCAATCCAGATGCAACTAGATGAATTAATCTCTGAGCTCACTAGGGCCGATCAGTTCAACAATTACATTTTAAGGCTGTTGCCAAGATGAATTAATCTCTGAGCTCACTAGGGCCGATCAGTTCAACAATTACATTTTAAGGCTGTTGCCATTTTCTTCTCCTTTTTTTTGGGAAACAAAAAAGACCCCTCAGAAGATTTACGCAGAGCCCTCAGAAGCTTTAGGCAGACCAACAAACTGGAAACATAGGAAAAACAAGAAAGCAAGCTTAACCCACCTTCTGCCGCACATGACCCAGAATCACCCTGTACGGAGCCACATCAGGGCGCCTGGGATTAAGAAGTCTATCAACACTCGAGGAGGTCACCAGTTCTGCTCTTCTCTTCTGTGAGTGTAACAACGACGCAACTGTCACACTGCTACCTTTCTCAGACAACTGAGAAGAGGAATTGGCACGTGACAGTTTATCGGTCGAAGGAGCGCGGGAAAACTTCTCCAAAGGACCAGGACCAGAGGTTGGGGTGCTAGCAAAGGTCGGTGTTGCCAATCTTGGTGAGTCTGAGGCCGATGAAGTGGGGGATGATGGATCTCTGGACTGGCCATTCGAATAACTTGTGATCAGTGGCTGCAGAGTCTGCACCAAACATAAAACCAACCACCTTAGTCACAGATAACCTGAGCATAGATGTGCAGATCTCCAGGCATTCAATAGGAGAGTAAAAGATTACTGCTGCAAAATTAGAGCCTCATTAGAGCTTCATTGTGACCCTGGTTATTCTTCCGCATGAGCTTCGGGGCCACCAAATCTCCTTGCCACATACACAACCATAAACGTTCCCCTCTTTCTCCTTGCCACACAGACACACACACACACACCTCCCTATCTCTCTCTTGCTCTCTCACGCTCTCTCTCACACATGAGCTAATGCAACTCTTCCTCCCTCTCCCTCCTTCCTCTGCCTCGCACACGATAGTCAACAACGCGCACACACACACGCACACGCACAGACAGACACACGCACATGAATGTGCACATGTGAACATGAATAAAACTGCATCATCTGCAAAGGCATCAGTTTTGCACCAAAACTTTGCCTGGTGGAGTGAACAGGTTGCACACTTTCTTGAGCACCATCAAATAGTACTGCATGCCAAGCAACCACGGCACATTCACAAACACACACGCCTGGTAAAAAATTTATGTCATGCAGAATTGCGAATACAGCAACTTTCGGCTCAGGGTCACCCCGAACTCCGTTATGGAATCCGAACTAAAAAATAAAAACAAAACACCAAATTATTTCACCCCCCTTTAAGCCCCTTTAAGCCCTCTTAAAATTTCAGCCCTGTCTATAGCCCATAGACACCCTTTCGTCAAACATCACAAAAATTAAAGACAAGGGGATTCGGGCACATCTGAGTGGGCGCAAGCACGGCCCACTACCAGGCCGAAAACAAAAATGACGCCCATTTTGCCGTTGCCCAATCACAAAACTTGCCCCATTTGCACACACGAACAAGAATAATACGAATTGAACCTATCCGAACTCATCATCACCAAGGAGTCAGCCTTGCTGCCGAACTTTTGCCTGGTGGTGTGCCCAGGCTGCATAAAGATATGTTGCAGAGAATTTGCAACACTGCACGCTAACCACCAAATCATGCTCGTGTCCGATTCGCTTTCCTATTTGCCCAAAAAGGATAATCAGCACCCATTCTGCACTGCACGGTATTTTTTTTTTTCATTACTTCATGATGAAACAGTAGCCTCGAGGATCTTACCACCACCACCGACTCACCTCCACGAATCGAAAGCCCCCCCCTTCACAGACCAGGATAGAAGGACTTACCAACCCCTTCACACCTCAAGCAGCGCAAGGCTTGAGGTGTTATGGTGGGAACGAGTGGTGCACTTATGCAGGCTGCCCAGGGGCCATCTGCACATGCCCGCCAGCAAAAACGCATACCAGGACAAGAGCCGACTCATTCTACAAGTACCACCAGTGCGCGCTGCACCGTAATCACCGATGGAACATTGAAAATCCCTGAACTTCAGTTTGGGGTGTTCACACCTGCCAAATGGGACATCTTCATAACCTGTCTAGGGAACAAAAGTTCACGTTCCCGTTCAGCTGCCCTGACTTTCCCAAACAAACCCCAGGCCATTTTTGGGGGCGATCAAACTCGGATAACACAGAGAAAATCCCTAGCTTCAGGTTAGTGTGTCCAAACAGCGCCATAGAGCACACCTGCCAAATTGGAACACTTGCTGCCTACACTAGCAGCCTGTTTCCTCATGCCGAGGAAAAAACTCCCCGACTTTTCCACACAAGTCCCCAGCCAATTTTGGGGGCAATCTGAACTCCCATGCCACAACGGAAGCCAATAGCGAGGACCCGTAGAACTGACAAGAACAGCCAGCCCATCTCCAGCCATTCCAAAAAAGCATCACAGGAGAGTGATCCTGTGAATGAAGAGAGAAGACGAGGTTGAAGCACATTGAGGGAGTGCAGCTGCATTCCAACAAAGAGAGAAACATATTCTCGGGGGAAATGACAACAGACTCAACAGAGATGTTCAAAACTGAAGGAATGTCAGAACATTTGCCCAATAACAGATTTAAATTGTGTCTCTAGAGCAATTGGACCAAACTCAGCAGAACACAATGGCTATGCTGCCAGAGCCCTCAGAGTAAACTGTCGATTGCAAACCCAGACGTGAAGACAAAAAAAAAAGGCGAAGACAGGAAACGGGGCACCCAATCATCCAGTGTACTTTCCATCAAATTTTCCAGCCATAATTTTTTTTTTTTCGTTCGCAAAAAAGAATAAAAGAAACAGCAGAGCTCGTTGGACCTGAGCCTATTATCTAGGAAAGTTTAACTAATGATTTATTAGTAAATATTACCCATATTTTTTATTTGTTTGCTTGCTTTTGTTCATTATATCATGATATCATCCAATCGTAGTCAAAAATAGTGACGAAAACCTACACACATCTCTTTCAGCAACTAAAGTTCCATCCTTCAGTTCAATTATTATATGAATTTGGAATAGGTCATATACTATTCACAAGAGCAATGGCGTAGCAGCCCGGGACAAAATGTGGTTGGCTTACATCATCGAGACGTACAATGGCAGAGGGGAGGTCGACACTGTGGGGAACTTCGTGCACTCCATCCGTACCTGTAACAGGCAGAAAAAAAATGCAGCAGGCAGAAACAAGAAATGTGAGAAGACATGCACAGAAGACACATTGAGGCTAACCCAGCAGATTCATGGGCAATGTACCATGAAATAGCTACAAAATCAAATCCTGCAGTAGAGAAATCGAAGCATTAATGAATGACATACAGGGACTCGGGGAGACAAAACCTTCCAAACAATGCTCAACCCTTCTCTGACTTCAACGAAACATATCACAGAGACTTGATGTGTCCAGATTTGTTGTCACGGACTCTTGGTTCGGTCGGGAGCAGCGACCCCACTAGCCTGATCTGGATTAAGGTTTCAGCTTTTTTTACCGGGTTGCTTGTGAGGAATACCAGCCTCTTTTCTGACCGCGGCATCTTGGATATGCAGCATATGCTTACCTCAAATACATGTTCATTCGTTGGTTGACGAAGACTCGTGTGAATCTTGCGGTGTGACGTGCATGCTTGCGAGTGAATCGTGTGGTGTGACGTGCATGCTTGCGAGTGAATCGTGTGGTGTGACGTGCATGATCGCGATTCTGGATGTACTTACTATTCTCACCCTCTTTTCTGACCTGTATAATGGAATTCTGACTCTTAAGACATGTTTGCTGCTTCAGCCTCTGTCTTTACCCTCTACTGCACAAGAAGATGATCAGAATACACAACCAGAGAGGCCCTTTTGACTTTACAGACGCCCAAAGTTGCCTTGTTCACATCAGATTCATGCCCAGCAAAGCACTATATTCTCTTGCAGTTCTTTGCACAGGGCACAGATAAGACAAGACTAGCAGTTTGGGCAGCAGCCCACATTGACCATTACCATTTTAATTTGATTTTTTTTTATTTTTAAAGCAAAGAAAAAGGAAAAACAGGCATCCAGAAAACAACATCTTATATATTAATGTGTGATGCATTCACAATCCGATTCACTCAGAAACAAAGCGCCCTGTGAGTATGTTGAGAAAACAGTCTCCTTCAGGATATATTCCATTAGATAGTTCCTTACTGTCCAGAGTATGTTGAGAAAATTTTCAGGATATATTCCATTAGATAGTTCCTTACTGTCCAGAGTATGTTGAGAAAATTTTGATAAATAATAATATTTTTAATATCAAAGCAACAAAACAGTCACGCTTTCCTATTAATCTTTACTCGTCTGTGCTAGCAGACTTTGAAGTTTGAACATGACTTTCCTGAAAGAGAAAAGGACTGACATTTTATCGCTTTGCTATCAATCTTGCAGGATAGCTCCTTTAGACAGTTCCTAGTGTTCACAGTCCATTGACACAAATGCGCAATCATCGCCGCAAATTGCCGCAATGCTTGATCGGCAATGAAGATTAGCTCTAGAAATGGAAACTGAGAGAGAGGAGAACCGGTCAGGAGGAAAGAACTGGAATCTCTCCAATTCATCCCATCCCATCCTATAGACCACAGACTCCATATCCACATGAGAATTGAACCACACCTAGCAATCACTTCCTGACAAGGACCGCACATAACTGGTTCAGAAATGCTTCCTACTTGCAACAAGGACATGTTTTTCTCTTCGCCGGAGGACCTTTTCAAAAGCTCACAAATAAACAAGCTGGCAATATTCAACTCACCAACGCATTCCCATCCCAAACACAGTTCATCACACACAATGGCAGGGATTAGGCAAAAGGGAAATACCCATAGGCAAATCAATGCCTTCAGGGAGAGCGCCAACGCTCATCCCTGCCACTTCAAGATTATTCACGTTACGGTCCACCCACCCGTCCCCATGCTGTCCATGGTGATGCCCCCCTGCATGCATTTCATGCTCTGATCAGAGCAACACACCCCACACGTAAGGTTTCACAACGTCACACAGATGAAGAAAACCAGATAGAAAAGCCACATTTACCATTCGCTGACAAAGAAAGACGGCCACAAAGAACCCCTGCCACTAACATACTAACCATCATAACCAATCAGACAAACCGACGATAGAACTGCACATTTCGTTCTCAACCTCATGTGGGCTAAATAATTTAAATTCGTATCACACCAATCTCATGGATCTAATATGCCGCATCCCCCTGTGTACTCGCATTCATGGGGGTTAAATTCGTGGCACACCAATCTCATGGATCTAATATGCCGCATCCCCCTGTGTACTCACCTCCATGGGGGTTAAATTTATATCGCACCAACATCCCCATTCCATAGGACATCGACGGCCTTTTGTTTCCAGGACACATCCATACATTTGTAACCCCATCACATACAAATCACATCCATGCCTTTTGCAGTGAAATGCTCTCAAGTGGTTGCGCATTTCACAATCATCATACCAGGCTTCCAACAATGTTTTTTTTTTTCCCCCGTTGAAATTCCGCTCAAATGCTCTGGAATTTCACAATCATAATATCAAGTCTGCAAACACTGAAGAAACGAATGCCCCCACGTTTAAGCCCACACTTTCCGGAATTTCATTCTTCAGCTTCCTGTGCCATGCACCCAAAATTTACAGCCTGGTGGGCAATATGCTCGCAGGGTACCCCCGGCCCAAATGTTTAACACTGTTCAAGGTAGCAGCAGTTTCAAGGGAAAGTGAGCAGGCAACACAAGGCCACCATGAAACGATCCGCATGTACAGATACCACTAGAGCGTTGCAGAAGCCCTTCACAATGAATTCATGTTTTTTCTAGAAGGGGTAATGCAGTGTTCCAAGGAAGGAAAGCATGAAATATTTACTTTCAAGGGTGGACATAAATACACCTTGCCCTGCACAAGATAAAACTTTCCCTATAAGAATAACCAGGGGAGCTGCACATCCGCATCAACGATGGGCCTTCCACATGCGTTTCCACAGCCACATCATCAACACGACTTCAAGCACTATCATTAAAACGACTCGAAAACTTCAGTCTCACAGGACATTCTTCTCACAATCAAATGACATGGGAGTGAAGGGCAATAACCAAGGAGTGTGCCATAACCCCTCTGTTCCTTCCACTATCCTTGCTCGCTGCACAATGGTCCACACCACGTCCAAACTAGTCGAGTAGGACAAATGCGCCCCTCCCCTTTCAATGTCTCCACAAACAATGGTCCAACACATCATTAAATGTTTCCACAGTCTACCACAGCCAAAGATAAGCTTCCCTACTGTCTTGATACGCATCCAGCATCACACACAGCCGTGAAAGCACAAACCCACATCATGGCCAACACACATTCTTCGACTCGCACTGATAGTTCCTATATTCACCGATTCCATGCCAAAACACCTCTTCGGAAACCACCAGTCAGAAGCACCAACACCAATGATCTAGAACAGCGTTAAAAATCCGAGGGAAAAAAGTGAGACATGTCGCACAACAGCACTCGTCCGGTCAGTTTCCCAACCTTTAAATGTCAATCTTCATGTGCTTTCCCTTCATTGCAACAGCTGGATGAGACATGTGAAAAAAGTGGTGGGGTGACTCCACAAACCATACTCTGCCCAGCTGCCATATGGGATGGTGCTAACAACAACAGGGAACCAAAGTCAGAAGCAGAGAAAGTAGAGAGAAAAAGAAGGTATCAAGTTAAAACCATCCTTTTTTCCTTGGAAACTCCCTCCTGGAAACTCCGACCAACACATGGGACTAACTGAGAAACAGAAAAAACCCCCAATAGCGTTCACAGAGCTTTGCCAACAGCATTGAACAATTAGAAAGCAGAAAGCACCCAGGTTTATTACTGCGAATGCAAGAACTGAAGCACAAACCGTTTGAAAGCAGAAAGCACCCAGGTATCTTCCATTCGGGAGGAGGAACAGGGCCTACATACCTTTGGCTCGAAGATCCATGCAAACACGGTGAAGTTCTTCGCTACAGTTGCTAACAGACAGCTCAAATCGCAGGCCATCAATCTCCCTGAGATACAAGTCCGCAGCAATCCATTTTGCCAAGTAGCAGACGTCACGGGTCACCTGCCACATGATGCATTTCACATCGGATGAAGTCCATACAAATCGCTGACCGTCAATCAACCCCTCAAATCACAAATCACCAATGCACACACATTTGTGAAGGGCAGTCGATTGAATTACCTTATTTTGCGCTTCATATCCATCGACTAGGAGATTTACAAACTACTACTACACTTCATGCCCACGAGTCAGACATGTCCAGTACTGCTACGCTGTGTCCGGGGAAGTAAGCACAAAATTTTCTGCAGCTCAGCAGCTAGCTGTTGTCAACGACCAAAACCTCATACAATCCCCAACCCCTCTTCAGGGCAAGATATTGCAAACAGTGGAAGCTAACTGGGAACTGGATCGAGTAAATCCAAATTGGAAATCAAGCTCAGGCAGAAGAGCTATGGATGCCTCAGGCATGATGGAGAGGAGCATGGGTACTATTCTGAGCGTGAACCGCGACGCCTCGCAGTTGACACCCTCCCCCCCTCCCCCCCTCCCCCCCATTACAGCTCTCCTGTGGTGAACAGAGCACACGAGGAGAGAAAAATCCAGACAGCATTTGGTGGTCCTATAAGTGGAATGGAGTTAAAGGAGCAGCTTCACAATCATGTTCGTCAGCGCACTGCTGAAATCAACAGATATTTTCCTTGTACCTCCAATCAAAAGAAGCTTTGTGCTCATCCTGATAAGCGCACTACTAAAAGTGCAAAAGAAGACTCCATACAGCCACCGAAAAACAGCCTTCCATACGTAACTTGAAACTTCTATAGATAGGGGGGAAACAAGTTCAGACAACACGTCGTTACTTCTTCTTTCTAGCAACTTCACTAACCATTAACCTTCTGATTTACCAGCCACATAGCAGCAGTGTGAACAGCCCCACAGGGCCTGCAACACTCTCGTGCTAATGTCAGACAAGTTCGGTTCACTGTGCATTCCAATTGACCAAGCCAACGACAGCAGTGTAAGCAGAGTCAGACAGGACTGCGACATTCACTCCTGTCAGTGCCAGACACATTGATTACATTATGGATTTGGTTTCTCGGTACCTTCTGTGCACAGCCTGTACCTCAATCTGGACCGCGACTCAAAACCTGGAGAGGCGAAGAACAAGGTCGTACAGCAGCCTTCCGCGACTCAAGACCTGGAGAGGCGAAGAACAAGGTCGTACAGCAGCCTTCCCTTACAAGGCGTATCTGAATGTGAGAAGGCTTGTAAGTAATTACAGTACAACCCAAGCCTGGAAGCGTGAGCACCACCAGGTGAATGGTGACAGGTATACAACAATATGACCCCGGGTCCTCGGAACAGGAATGCTAACATCACCAGAGAAAGGGTGACGGATTCAGGTTGCAATTTGAAAAACAGATTTGCATTCCAGCCCGGAGACATGGAAAGTGATGCTGTCTCTTTTAACACAACTTGCCATTCACAAGATCGGGGAAAAGGGTTTGGTTATCATTCCAAGAGCAGGCAACCGAGAACGCATATTACCTTTGCGGTCACATGAGGATTCCCATCCCTGTCTCCACCCATCCACGACCCAAACTTAATTGGTGCAACAGTCAATGGCAGCGGCTTTCCTGTGTGCTGGCAAGGAGAAAAAATCAGACGAGCATCCAAATGTGAGTAAACATACACATTACCACGTTATCAAAGAGTACCCAGACAACATAACGATTGCACAAGGCAAAAACATACATCTCATCACAGCAGCCGATGCTGAAACATTCAAGACTCTACAAACCCGGACATTACAAAAACAATCACAGCAGCCGATGCTGAAACATTCAAGACTCTACAAACCCGGACATTACAAAAACAATCTCCGATTAGTCGCTTCACCCTTGCTCAAGCCAGGTACACTTTCCCAACTTACCAGACCAGAGTCCAGTTCAGATTCCCTCTTCTCTTCAGCAGGATTAGTCACCTCTCCCTGGTGTACACCTACCCTTCAACAACAAATAACCTTTGAATGCATCTCAGAAGAGAAAAATAGCCTAGTCTAAGACCGCGATCACCCACTGTGAAAGTAAAACATCACAGCAGAAGACATTCAAAACAACCACAGTACAGTTCATCTAACACCATACAAGCTTCCAAGACAGACAGAACGCCTGGTCCAAGGCATTTGGAACTGACCAGCAGCTCATTCTGATGATAGCTAGGATATAACCCAGCTCCTTAAGCACCACCGATAGCACGACAACAAGTTCCACAGAGCAGACCTTCAGCGTGAAACACTCAAACATCACACTCACATCAACAACCGATGGTCACAGGATCCAGTACATCTCGTAAAGCATGTTAAAATGCAAAAACGCAGCGATGGTTTGCAGGAATACAATGTACTGGCCCAAATTCCATTCTGGACAGAAGATAAGTTGAGGGTTGCAGATCTGCAAACATGCCACTACACTTACGGAGCAGACCGCAAGAAGTCTTTGGTCAAGTCATGAACCCGAGGGCAACCAATAGCATCACAAAATTTACATCCCTCAGCCATCTATACACTGCCCATGTCTTTAATTAGGAAAAGCTCTTCTACACAAGTCCTAATACAACACCTGCATCTTCCAATGACTAATGCGACAAGAAGTGCCAATGTCTTTAATTACGAAATGCTCTTCTAGACAAATCCTAATATGCACACCTGCAGCCTCCAATGACTAATGCAACAAGAACACTTGGGCCAAGAAATGCTGTCTGTGACTCAATGAGGCGAACAACAACATTAAAGTCCAAAAGCAAGTCCTTTTTTCACCCTGGAATTACAAAGATTGACATAACGAACTCGTAATTGAACTCGTTCTTTCCTAGCCATGTGCTTGTCATAGATATGAGCAACAAAAATCTGACCGGCATGGAGCTGAGATTTCCATTGGTTGAATCACCCATCCGAATCAGGGCACAATGTGGAGGCACTTTATTGCCCGTAACACCAACCAACCTTCTTCAAAGCGGCGCTGACTTTCCGCAAATAAGTGGGAATGGCCTTCCAGAGGGATTGTTCTACAATATGCAGGCCTGGTAGCAAGACACAGACAGAATGCAAATGTGTATGCCACATATACAGAACGTGTGTGAGCTGCTGCTAATGACAACCGCTAATGATAGCAACACAGTCACTGCAGGCGACATCCAGGAATTTATCCAAAGTACTCTGTAACCGGATTAGCCTGGTGTAAACAGAAGAGGGCTCAATTCAGGGGCCCCGACCATCAGCATGACTACCTCTGATAGGGACCCGCCATGGAAATAGCACCTTTGTCCTAAGTTTTCAAAGAAACATCGTACCCCAAATGGAAAAACGGTTGTTTCGGAAGCGGTTTGCAGATGTAATTTTTGGTTCAGCCCAGGTGGCCCTCAGCCAAAAGTCATTCATATTGCAATTTTACACAACACATTTTTTTTCGGATTTCTTTGATTTTTTTTATTTTCTATTCTTTTTTAAATATTATGCACCGGGATCACCTGGGACCCTGCCCGTGCCCTGCCCGGACTGGGCTGACCGGGGACTAACACAGCAAATTGCATCATAGTCGAAGCACAATACATAGGGGAGGAAGGTACAGGAGAAAAGTGGGGGCAGGACAGGGATTAGACCCAGAGTACATTTGACAGGTATTTTGTTCCACTTGGCCGTATTCAAATTGGCATCTATAAGGGGTTGGACGAGTTCAGCTAGCAACACCAGCCAAAGTAAAAAGGAGTCGTGTCGTGCTTCAGGAAAAGAGGGTCGGAATTACCACTCTACGTTTCCCAGCTATTTTGTTATGTCACGGCCATATACAGACCGCATGCTTAGGGGCTTGGCCTACTAGATCTGTTTGGCTGGCAGTTCCAGCCATAACCAAGAAAATTTGCACTATCACTTCATTTTTTCCTTTGGCGAGCAGCACAAACCTGCCACGGGAAAAGTAGTCTCAGGAGTACCGGTGGTTTAGAAGGGGAGGGGACAAAAAAGGGGTGGACGAAGAAAATCTAAAAAGAGAAAGACGGAAACGAGACCAGAAGGCGTCGATCCCTTTCGTAAGCAATGTGAAGAATATGCAGAGGAGTCAGCACTGAACTGCAGCTACTGCAAATGCCTCGTCACTTCTTTGGAAGCATGCTGGGGCAGAAAAGACGTAGAAAGACGCAAAGGGAGGGGATTGAGGGGCACCATCCTCCAGCCTCCTCCCTTCCCAACCTTCACCCCCTTTCCCCACACCCCCTGCCTCAAAGAATGTGTTGGCCAATATCCAGGGAGAGAGAAGAGGGAAAAGTGTATATTCGGCAGAAAAAATGTTCCCTCGTCCCACAATATTTCGAGTCAATTCAAGCTGTGCCATTCAATGGCGCTGAAGCGGCTGAACATATCAATTCATCCAAGTCTGAGACGACGCATTCAAGCACACCCAGTAGTCCACCCACAGTGGCCACCTACCTCCTCTCGCTTCATCTAGTGGAGTTGGCTTCCGACGTCGCAGTTCATCTGTTTGCCAGAGAGACACTATTTCTCGAACCTGCAAGATCACAACAAAATGGATCAGACCTCAATCACTTGGAAGTTGGAAGTTGGAATGTTAAAGTTGGTTTTGGATGTCATGACTTAACCAGTCTTTTCTGACAACCAGAGAAAACAATAGACTTTATGCCCATAGTAAACAGTCCAGGACCTTAGGTGCCACACACTTGGGACAAACAACAAGGAAACAGTTTCTGAACTCACTTCATAATAAAAACTTCTTTGTCCTGCGTGGCAACCCGTCCAGGGCATATTGTCACCGAGTTATGTTTTCCCAATGCCTGCACAGTCGATCCCTGCTAGCACGGGCAATCAATGCCGGCAGGCTTACCCAGCAGAGTCCAGTTTTGATTGTACTGTGGGACACTGGACCCATTTTCCAGCAGGTGCTGCTCCCCACCAATAGACCAGAGCAACCAGGTGGCCTGCTAGGAGGGGGTGCCCTTATCACCTCTCCTAGCGTGGCGACATCTCCTTGTTCCCCCAGGTGGTAAGCACAAACACGCTTCCTCTGTTTCTGGATATGCCCGATACTTGGGGTTGGCTTGACATTTGACATGTCCAACAAACATCTCTCACAATGTTTTGATCAGGTCTTAAGACTCTTAACCCACAGGTCCAAAGAACTGAAGTAAATGTCAATCCACCATTAAGACCCGGACCTGGCATACGGCAGAAACACCGACTTCCTTACTGCAAATCACATGGATCATCATCCACCCCGCCCCATACATTTCTTTTTTTTCTCTTTTCTTTTCTTTGGGGGGAAGGGGGGCGAGGTGCAGAGCAGGCACAGGAGGGTAGGGTAGCATCTGAAAAGAAATACCCATGCCCACACCTAAGCCAACATGGTGATCCATTCAGCATAAATAGCCAAATTTGAAATTTCCATGTTACCAGAGTGACCCAGGACCACTTGCCCAGCCAGGCCAAAAATGAATTAAAAAATAAAATTAAATAATACATATATATAGTCAAACAGAGCTGCCCAGTAAACCGTAGGGGGAGAAGAGGACAACAAACGAGGGTCTGTGGCATATGTATTCTTCTTTTTGTTTTTTATTTCTTAATTTGGCAAATAATTTTGATCCAGTCCTGGGGCAAAAGTTGTTATCTGCACGATATAGGTTTCTTTCGAATGTTTGGGATGAAGATGTGCAGTTTTTTTTCTGCATGACATTTCCGATGTTTTGGATTTTACTACTTTTTATAACCACCACTACCTTTCACAGGCAAAGGCGAAGTCAAAGTTTAACCTCATCCGAAATATTCGGGGCTTCAGGACTACCGGACCACAAACACTTGCGGCACCAGCCAAAAGAAAACAAAAATATCGTGCTGGCACTTCGGCACCCATTGGCACGCAACACAACTCCACGTCGACAAAAAGAGGCTCGGAGGTAGTGGTGGTTTAGTGGTGATTTAAGGAACCGAGTGGTGGTTTAAGGAACCTTCCGTAGACCTTGCCCTGCAGGGCCGCCCGGGCAACCAAGTTGAGCCAGGCGGCACAGCCAAATTTCAAATTTGTATTCCGCCGGTGCGTTGATCAATCATCCTGATACAAGCATATGGTCTGGACTAATCTGAAGCCAGAAAGAAGTAAATAGGAGAGAGATCCCATTATGACTTTTTGTGCTTGCACACATGTCGCTAGGTGGGTGCATCGCTCAGTTCCAATGCCAAACCGTCGCCTTCACCAGTGTGACAGAATAGCTACCACTTCGCTTATTAGGTGAGAAAATGAGAATTGGTCAGGAATGAGAATCCAACATGTAGATCTCTGGAACAGAAAACAAAACTCCACGAGCATGATAGCAAAGGCATAGATAATCCAACTGAAGGCACGCATACATGTCTATTCCAAACGGGTAGTTCACTTATTTACATAGGATCTGCACTTGTTGTGGACCACATATAGTATACATGGCCTGCCACTGGATGGTGAACGAGGGGTAAGAAACTCGCTAAAAATAGAATGGAGCTCAACTCATATTTCCGAGAGCATTTGTGGCCCCTGATAAGAGACGAACCAAATGTTGTGCCCCTAAAAAGTAGCCCAACATCACCACATGATCCGTGCCGGAACTATACAAAAACAATTGAGACCAAAATCCCTAATTCAAATGCAGACCAAAATTCCTAATTGAAATGCAGCAGCCATGCCCTCTTCGCTCGACGCTAATCGGAAGCTGTGAAGAAAGCGTGGTGCTTCTTGCAATACGATGCGGGGAAATAAGTTGTCCACACTACTGGGAGAAGATGAGGGTCCAACTAACATAGAACACTTACCAGATCTTCAATAAGGAGCTCCTTATCTTCTTGGGTTAGGTCCGGACGGTCATTTTTTTCAAGGAGATTCTGTGGCACACAAGGCAATCATCACACAATCACAACACGGAGGACGAATTTGAAACTACCATCAACTTCTTCTCCATCTCTTTCCTCTGCCTGCAAGCCAACGCTAAACTGAGATGATGCTTGTTCTTGCTTCCCATACAGGGCTTGCCACTTGGTAATCTGGCAGCTGTGTAGATTCGCCTGTGTTTGATATCAGGAGGGATCGCAATGAGATCTCAAGGAATAAAAAATAACAGGGCACAAACGAGGAGCATCACATATTCAAAGCAAGGCCACACTGAATATGCATCAAAATCCGAGGCCTATTATTGAAATCAAATTCCACGGGCCTGTTATCAAAATCAAATTTCACCTCCCAACGTTGACTACCGTAGTCACCTGTGAAGACTAGACCGTCAGCAGGAGTTGACGTAGCTCACGGTAGCTGTGATTTAACAGCTTTTTGAGACCAGATCCACACATACTGAACATAGCCTACATTTGCGGATGAGCATGGGCCTTACTGAAGTTTCCTGTAAAGACTTCACTGCCAGCAGGTGTTGACATGGTAGAGTCGATTTACCAGTCTTTCAAGAGCCCGGTCATGCGTATATCGAGAGCATGAACGTAGCCCACCTTTGTGAATGAGCATGGCAGTAGGTTAGCCTATTCTTGTGCCTTTTGAGACCAGATTCATGCATACTGAGCATGATCATGAATGAGCATGGCAGTAGGTTAGCCTATTCTTGTGCCTTTTGAGACCAGATTCATGCGTACTGAGCATGATCATAGCACTAGATAGCCTACATTTGCAGACGAGCATAAGGTAGCCTATTCTTGTGCCTTTTGAGACCAGATTCATGCATACTGAGCATGACCATAGCACTACCTAGCCTACATTTGCAGATGAGCATGGGCCTTACAGGGTGCCGAGAGCATGGCCATAGCCAACCTTTGTGAATGGGCATGGCAGTAGGTAGCCTATTCTTGTGCCTTTTGAGACCGGATTCATGCATACTGAGCATGACCATAGCACTAGCTAAGCCTCAATTGCGAATGAGCATGGGCCTTGCTGAAGTCACCTACTGCCAGCAGGCAGTAACATGGTAGAGGCAATTTAACAGTCTTCCAAGACCAGAGTCATGTGTACCGAGAGGATGAACATATCCTACCTTTGTGAATGAGCACGGCAGTGACTAGCCTATTCTTGTGCCACGCAGGTAGCCAAAGGACCACCGGTGGAATGCTACTTGCCAACACTTTCGTTTCTAAGCATAAGCAAGCAATCCATTGACAATTTGACACCCCAAGTCTAACACCAGGCCCAATCCTGCCAGAGCTACGTTTGTTTCTAAATCTGACCAGTTCAGAGAGATTCACACATAAAAGGTGTGACTGTCGCATTGACGAGACTACATTCTCTCTCACTTGAGCTCCCATTTGGCCGAAACCACTTTTGCAAACCACAAATAGTGCAGACATGGACCTCACCTCTGTAGCAAACGCGCAAAATGATACCGGTATAATCATTAATTATTCTTTGATTAGAGGGTTAAAAGCTTTTAGCACCGTTGATAGCTTACTGTGTACCACAAATGCTTGTGACCAGACATGAATTGGGTGGAGAAGCATAGTGTTCTCCCATTTGCAGCACCTGAGTGTATCATATGCTGACTGTCAGCCACCTTGTCAGAATGTGAGGGAATCACTTTGCAAACGCATAGCATCATATATATGCATTTAAAAAGAGAAAAGAATTGAAAAGGCAGATCATATGCTGTCTGACTGCCAAACACCTGGCCGATGCGTCAGGGGATTACAAACCTTCATGATATGCTGTAAACAGAGAAAAGGTGGTTTTGGGCTTACACACTCTTCAGCAAAGGGGATGGAAAAGACGAACAAACCACAGACGGCGAGAAAAAAAAGGTAGTGAAGAGACTGATAAACAGTGAAGGAGCGGTTTTTGGCTTGCATGGAAAAGAGAAACAAAACCAAGGAACATGAAAAGAAAAGAAGAAACGCATAGTGTGACAAGTCTGAAGACCTACCGCTATTCGCAGGTGCTTATATTGCAGAGTCCGCCGATTAATCTGAGTAGGATGCGCCGTCAGCACAATTTCCACCTCCTGCAACAAGGTGAAAATAAAATCAATCCGAACATGAACATCATTAGATAGTAGATACTCAACACTCTCAACTAGTCTCACATATTCTCAACTCGTTCAACAGAACTGGACATGGAGAAGCAAATCAACAAGCAGAACCGTTTCTTTCTTTCTTTCTCTTTCCAACCTGTTTCTGGAATTCTGCATGCCGGGCCCTGGCACGTCGGTCATGCCACTCTTCTATGTATTCACGCATCCTCAGGGACATCCATTAAAACAAGCAGAACCAATTATTGTGCCGCCCACAACAAAGTAGCAAGTCAACATTGAGCATACCAACGACTGTCCTCGATCTTCCACCTGCGGAACTACCGGGGGAGAAGACGGCAGATATACAGAATATTCCATCCCTTACTACCTCCAGAGTCAGTGCACATTATTACAGTCTACACTGCTCTACAGCTTATCCTTACCCTCCTTTAATTCTGGAGACATTCTACACTGCTCTACAGCTTATCCTTGCCCTCCTTTGAATCTGGACACTGCACAAACCGTGCTAGTCTCTTTCCTTTCTGTTGTGGTGCCTGTAGAGTTCACCAAGTATCCACCAAGGGGCGATGTCGCTAAGTTTGGGTCACTTGGCATCCAAAGATTGGGCCATTGGTCTCCAGGATGAAAAGTGGCCTGGTGCACAGTGACTATTTTGAGAACATCACATCCCTCGCCAGTAGCAGCTCAATTCCAAGTTCCCAACCGCATAGCCAAAATTCTTATACGGCTTCGGTAAAAATCAAAGGACCGCGGCTCAAAATTTCTCGATGGTTTTTCAGTAAAACAAAGGAAAGCCCAGGAGGGCTATGTGATTGTAAGATTCAACAACTGCTACCTCCTCGAAACACAAGGCCTTCGTACCTGCTGGCAGAAATAGTCGTATAGCTCCTGTGGAGAATGCCCCATCTGGATGAGCTGGCTGAAAACCTCGTCACATGACTTCGACAGCATTGGTGCCTTTGTTCGCCTCACACTGCATTTCAACAGGCAACATAACAACAGATCGCAATTAAGGCACTGCTACCCAGCTCTAAGGACTGCCAGAAACCAGGTACATATGTTTACCCACCCACATATCAGGGACGAGCACCACCAAAGAACTCGCACGACAACAGCAATCTCCACGGCACCAGAAAAAGGGAGTAGACAGAGAACAGGCAAACAATGCACATAAAACTTGATAAAAGTGACACAATCTCATCGCAGCGCACAATGTTCTTGCAGTATCCAGGCCAGAATCTCCACAGTTTTCTACCTCTCACTCCTGACGAGCTGAGGCCCGCAGTCCTTTTCGCAGTAAGAGCCCCACAACATAGTTAACGCCGTCCTCCGCAATGACCTCAAATTCTGCACCATTGCAGCAATCCTCATCCACCCTACAGCACGGACAAAAGAAGAATGAAGGTCCACCAACATGCATGCCCATACGTGACGATGGCAGCAGACAAACATGCCTGAAAGCCCATGCACAAACATGTCCATTTGGGCATCGGGTGACACACTTGAACAGATCCATCCACTGGGCCATTATGACCAACATTGTCCTCATTGTGAGCACAGGTGAAACTCTTTACATGGAAAGTGGCACTAAATCATCAGCACCTTGTTGTTAGCTCACTGGTAGGTCACTGGTAATACTCAGAGAAATAGACAGAGAACAATCTTGTGAAAGGATTCACACACCTCAAGAGTCCTATCGCTATACCTAGTCTCAATTTCACCAACCCACTTCACGCCCGTGAACCATCTCCACAAGCAACCACGTAAGCTTCACCCCGTCTTCTCCATTCTCCTCAGCTTCCTCCTCTCCTTCCCATCTTCTTCTTCTTACCCTCCCTCGCAATCTTGTGAAGCGACGGCCAAAAAAAGGAGGGAGGAACTACAGAGAGAAGGGAAGGAGGAGAGGAGAGATCGAGGAGGGGAAAATAAGAGGATAGGATTGAGAGACAGGGAAGGCTCTCTAGCAACCCGCTTCAAGAATAGCCGACAGCTAGAGTAGCTGAGAGGAGTATAGAAGGTCACAATTACTCTACATATGAATATGAAGGTTAAAGAGATTTTGCAGCAAGAAGGTGCTCCTAAGCTAAACTGGGTAATCCTCCCAGGATAACCCCGGGTAAAAATTGTGAGGTCCCCGGCCTCAAACGTCATTCGGAATATAACAAAGGCTTCAACAAAAAAAGAAAAAAGTGGGTGATGCGTGTGAAGTATCTTTTCCAGCAACAAGGCTGGCCAGATAATGCAAACCAGTTTTCATAACAACCAAACTAATGCAGTTGACAAACCTGTGGTGTGTCTCCGCAATGCTTGTCAAGTTCATGTAGTGGGCGAATGCACGGGCGAGGTACACAGCCTCCTCCACAGAAATGCTGGACAGTTCTTTTTCCAGCTGCTTCGATAGCCACTCTGCGGCCTCCTCTATTCCTGCGTGGCGAACATTAGTGACACTCTGCAGACACATCCATGATAGAAACATTGTTGCCAGTCACTATCAGGTTCACAAACCGCCACCATGTCCAACCAATGCTCAGCAAGGGGGTGCAAAAAGCATTTGTTCCAAAAAGAATGGAAGTAAAGAGTCAAGGCTGTCGCCTCTACCGCTGACAAACCAGCAATTCATGCAGAAACCAATCTAGCAGTCCAGGGAGGCCTTAACGGTAAGGCTTCTGTAACACACACCACCGGCATGGATTCAACAGTCCACATTTCTTGAGCCGAAGTACCGCTTTCACCTGAAAAGAACATACAGTTAGTGTAGCTGCATCTAGGCAGAAAGTCACCCCAAATACGGCTAAAAATAATTAACGTTGTATTCAGGGAGAGACGGTAGCTTCATTTATTGCCCACACTCCAAGCCCAACCCCAACTCCACCATGTAGTGCTTCTTCCCAAGTGGCCAGAACACATTTGTGATCTACCTCCAGGACATTCATAGCGGAAAAAATGCCCTCAAAGATTTTAACCACCAGACCCACTGACAGACAGGGAGGGCGCAGGTACCAGCAGCACCTTCAGGCCAAAAATGCCTCGTTGGAAAAAGAAAACAGCCAGTTCAAGTTGGGCAGAGGTGAGGGGTGGTACATCCTCCTCCCAGGAAGCGAGCAATGCCGCCCGCTTAGATTTCTCAATCGTAATGGGGAGAAGCAATGGGTATTGCGTAAATCTTGTACCCTTGTTAGTAGAAGAGGAACCGGACTGTTGCTCCCCATGATTTATAAGGAGCTAGAACCACGGAGTTCTTTTTTTCTTCTTCTTTTCAAGAAAAGGGGAAAAAAAGGCCAGTTCAGCAGAGTGTGCCCACATGCAATGGCAAGTGTGATCCAGTCAGAAAATTTGTGGACGTCAACCATAAAGCATGCTGTCATGCCTTAAAAGTAAAAAAAAAAAAGAAAACGTAATTGATTGAAAAAAAAAAACAGAAGGGTACACCTGTCCAAAAGTCGGAACTCAAAATTTGCGATAGAGAACAAGAGGCTAAATTGCCTGAAAGCTGATACTAAGCAAAGACGGGGAAAAAAAAAACCCAACTTTCTCTACAAACGGAAGCAGTGGAGACGATTAAACCCGCTAGTTCAACCAAGCCTACATTGGTGTCTTCTCAGAGTTCGCAGCAAGAATACACCCACTTTCTTTTTACTTTTTCTGTTTCAAAACAGGACTCCTTTCTATTTGTGGGGAGCAGCACATGCTGCGAACCGGGCCCAGCGTCCCTTATAACAGACAAAAGTAAGAGCAGGGACGGGGTCCCCACAGTCTACCCGGAGGATATCAGAGCAATCAGTGTATGGGTGCACCGTACCGAGAGCATTACTCGGCTTCGCTTGTGAACACCTGTTTTGCTGGAAACCTGGTCCAGCATCCCAAACCAGGCCACCAAATACCTTCTTTTCGGACCTGTTTTGCTGGAAACCACCCACATATTTTTTTTCCTTTTTAAAGAGACAATCCAGCCCAATCTATTCTGGGGGGCAGCAGTCCGGTTGCTTATCGCCAGCAAGCATGTTCCACAAAAAGAAACAATACCCAGAAGGAGAGGATGCAGCCTGGTACTCCTTTCGCCTTAGACACAGTGCAGGGGGGGGATGGGGGGCAGCACTGTGCCTCTTGCCCACATATTTAACAAAATAAATTTGTGAATCACCTCCGCAGGATACCCAACAACAGCAGAGGCAGGCCAACATACGACCTGTGTTCGCAAAAAAAAAGAAACTACAATTTACGAGCACAACGAACTCCGCTGCCAGCATGCATACAGCAATCAGACAATTTGACGAAGTGCCAAAGCAAAGACCATGCCAGCAACAGAAGTATTTTCACAACTTTCAGGGCTATTATTGATGAAAAACCCTCGCCTCACATCCCAACAATACAAAGAGTGACCACTGGTCTCACTCTCGGCCTATGTCATCACCTACTACTCTAGCCTACAATGGGCCAATGTACAATGCCCCTTCTCCTGCCCATGCCTGGATGGCAAATCTCCTGTGCTGGAGCTCTTGGCAACCACCAGATAGGCCCCTCACCAAACACTACCTTACGGCCCCCCTCCCTTACCTCCAGGTACTACCCTATTTTCTCCACCTCTCTCAGGCCCCCAACCAAGGCATCACTGGTACAGCCTTCCCTCCCAGCTATGCTAGCTGGCAGACTGCTGCTGTCAGTAGCTGCTGCCTCGCCTACTGCTGCTGGCTACCCAGTCTACATGCCAAGACCTGGATCTGAACGGGTGGTGGGCAGGTTGGTGGGCGGACTGGTAGGCCCTGCCTGCCAATCACTTCCGTAAGGAGCCACGGTCCACTGGGATCCTAACTACCTGACTGGTACCGTACCTCGACCTGAGCCATTTTTCTTACAAAAGTGGCCACACACTTTCTTGCTTCAAGCCTTCACTTAGGGCACTTTTTTCCATAACAAGCCTGGGAGACACTTGGTGGCCTCGTACAATATTCATTTTCAAAAACGAAAGTAAAAAGAGAACTTTTGATTGGCTGCATTCCCCTCTTCCCTGTTCATGATCTCACGACCCTCCCCATCTCTTCTCTTCTTAAAGTCCTTTTTCTTTTCTTTTTTTCTCTCTTCTGCTGTCGGCTCCCCATCTCTTCCAGTTGCTTCCACTGAGCTCATTTTTCATGCCCCGAGTACGTAAAATGCATCTTTTCTTTTTTTCTTTTCTTTTCTTTTCTCCTGTCGGCTCCCCATCTCTTCCAGATGCTTCCAGTGAGGTCATTTTTCCTGCCCCGAGTATGTAAATGCGGGAGTTCAAATCTAGTATCTTGTGTCAGTCAGGCACGAACAGTAACCACGGACCCACAAATCTTAGACACTTGTCCTTCACAACATCCACTAATATTTGAAAAATACAAAAACTAAAACCGGCTCTGCGAATCAACGGGCCTAGCTCAGTTTGTACACCCCAGAACTGTTTTCTAGATACAGACTGAAGTTCGAATCCAGATATACTCAGATGAATAGAATAACATCGCTCTGAATTGCCTGGGACCGGTCAGTTCAACGAAGATATCTGAAGGTCATCGCCCTTTAAAAAAAAAAAAAAAAAAAAAAAAAAAAACAGGCTCTGTGCGTCCTCCAAGACATCCATTGAAATTGAAGCGATACAGAGAAGAGTAGGATGGCCCCTGAGCACGGGAGACACAGATCAATCGAGAAATGGTCCAAACGTGAAAATCAAAAGAGAAAAGGAAAAAACAAAAAAAATGGCCCTGCACACACACCAAGAAGCTGTCAGGGGTCCCCTCCCCCCCCCCCCCCAAGCCACTACCGGTAGGGCTGTGTTGAGCTGTTGCAGCCTCACCCGCTCCACAAGTGCCACGGAAAGTGTTGTTCAAATTTAATGATCGAGGTGCTAGTTTGGCCCTGCTTCCCCCTGCTCCTCCTTCGAAATCAGTCAGTGGGTTTGCATCTGACAGTCATCCGACAGCAGTGGAAGCATTTATTCTGTCATGTGATCTAAGTAGTCACGTGACCAAAGAGGAGAAAAAAAATGGAAAGTAGCAACACCAACTCCAAGGAGAGCCCACCCCTGCCAAGGAGAGCCCACCCCCGGATCTTGGCTTTCTGGTTCAAGATCTCAGCAGCTTTCAGCTTCCTTTTCCAGGAAACCTGTGTTAGGCTGTTCGATAGGAGTTCACATCGTCCCACCACGGAAGTCAGTGCGGACAATAAGCTACCATTAGAGGAGTACGGATAGATACGGTTGTCCAGGCATGATGGCACGGTGCTCAGAAACAGACAGCACAGCAGTGAGCATCACACAGAGGGAGCGTCGGCATGATCATCTAGACGAAAATGATGCCCCTCATGCTCCAGCAATATAAGCCCCAGAGTCCAGTGTCAAGGGACAGCTCCACAGGCTGCACAAACTGCCTGTAGCGACGCACAGCACAGTCCTACAAGAGTTTTGTAAGCAGGCCTAGGGGATGGCTCCACAAACCAAATGGCCCAAGCCCGGTAGCCAGGCGAGGGAGAATGTCCACCTGGCATGCAGGTCCCCTCCTTTTCCCTAAAGCAGAGGTAGTAGAGGTGTTCGGTTTACGATCTTAAAGAGGAAATGTAATTAGACTTACAGATTTACGGCTTATCTGAAATCCTGAAATTGAGTAACATATATGAGCAAGGACAGGATGTGGTTGGTTGATCAAAAGCTGAGCAGATAGCTGGACATGAGTCAATCCGGACAGGATAAGGAAAGGTTCAAACGTCTCACGGTGCATAGTGGAGAGCCCAACCGCAAAGAAAATATTTGCTCACCAGATTCCGGTGCTTTAGTGATAAGGAAACTTCAGAATCCCCTCTGGAATCTTCCAGATTCTTTCTTGCTAACAGATTCCTCCCAAAGTCTGGAATCTTTACATTATTGGTGACAAATGAAATGAGGCTTTCTGGCATAGACAACAGGTTTTTTTTTTCAGTTTTGCATCATTCAAGCCGCTCCTGACCATATCTTCCCTGTAAACATGTTTGTCCTTCATGCCGTTATATCATTTGTATGCCCAAAGTTCTCTTCAAGACTCAGGGTTATTTTCTTCCTTTTTTTCCTTAAAAAGACCGATTGTTTTTAAGCCCAACCAATTCAATTACATGTTGGATCTGGACAAGAGCCAGTTTTTATTGTCATTTTATTACTATGGAAAACCCCGTAGCGGCCACATCTGTGTTAGAGCCTCCAATGAGGGAACATGCGGGAGCCGCACCCACCAGCAGTTGCGGCGTAGGTGGGCAATGCTGGCCAGGAGTCAGCCAGTAGCATCAGGACCGAGATTCTTCAATGACCCAGTCACTGTGCCTTCCCTCGGTCTCCTCCCCCTACGAACATCAGCAGCCTCTACTCGATGCTGCTCGGGGGCACCAATGGCCCATCTCTAGGTGGCAGGTGCCAAGCTTGCCCAAGAAGGTACATGAGGCCCATGGGATTTCAACCCAAGGCCTCCTGGATGGCACGTGTGCCTTACAAACTGAGCCAGACCGCTGGATCCAGGATCTTCATCCCTTGACACATGGCTGCTCGCGCACCTTGTCTGATGGGGTATATCAGGGTGCAGCTTTGCAAGAGGGCAAGATGGGCCTTGCATGTGGCACGATTTACCTGGACATATTCTCTGCAAGCCGGCCCCCCGGTACATCCCGCTAGAGGCAGCACACATGGCTGGGAAACAAACTGGTAGTTTAAATCACAAGTACACGGCGGAAGCACACATGGCTGCGAAACAAACTGGTAGTTTAAACCACAAGTACATGGCCCCAGCCTTGCGGTCCGAAATTTGTCGCCACAACAAAACAAGGCCATCATCATCATCATCATACGAGGGACGCTGAGCCCGGTTCTCAGCATGATCGGTTCGGTCACTCCGGGTAGACTGTGAGGACCCCGCCCTCAAGCTTCTTGTTGATAGTATCAGCCTTGGGCACTGGGCCCTTCAGAAAAAAAA